CCCAGGCCAGGGGCCCTGTCTTTCCAAAGCTCAGCTGCAGCTCCCGGGGCCTCACCCTGCAGACTGGCCACCTCACTGTCCTTTTCCCGCTGCAGCTGGGCATAGCGCTGCCCGTGGCTCTCCAGGGCCTTCCGATGCTCCAGCCTCAGTCCGCTGTGCTGCAGCTGCAGGTCCAGCAGTTGCTTCTTCACATCCTCATGTTGGTTCTGGGAAGTGAAGGGGCCCCAACATTAGGCTCAGCACCAGCTCCCCTCACCCCACCCTAGGCCTTTCTTCTCCCCCAGAGCCAACTCCCTCAGGGTCCTCAAACACCAGAGAAATTCAGAGAGAAAACAGAGCACAGAAGCCTCCCCCCAGCCAAGAACCTACTCCTAGCCCTGGGCTTGGGCCAAGCCCTCACCTCCACCTCACCTCCTCAGCTCTGCCATCCCACTGGAGAAAGCCACTGACCCAGACAGGTGCCACCCGTGTTGTCACAACAAGGGCCCTCCCCAAGTGCAGCCCTGCTGGCCAGGATGAGGGGCATCCCGAACCAGGCATCCAAGCACCCCAGCCCATACTCCTTTGGAGCCCTGGGCCTGGTTTAGAACGCTGGAGAGGGGGCAAGGCCAGGGTCCCAGAGAGCAGTAGGGAAAGAGGTGATCCTGAGACTGGGAAAAGAACTGCGCCCACTCCAGCCCCTACCTGCCCCCTGGGGTCCTTGCCTTGAGGATCCTGTGCTGGGAGCTTAGGGCCCCATAACGGTTCATTGAATCTTGCTGTAGCCCAGGCCCCAGGTCCATGAAGAGAAAACAGACATTTTATTACACACAGTGCCAAGGAGGGGGGAACACCTCTCTCTACACCAGGGGCTTTTAACCTGGGGTCCATGGATACTCAAGGGGTCTGTGGGCAGATTTCAGAGGGCCTGTGAATTTGAACAGGAAAAAAAATACGTCTTCATTCCCAATATAATTGGTTTTCTTTGTAATTCTATATATTTTAGGATTTAAAAACATGATTCTGAGAAGGGGCCCATAGACTTCACCAGACCGCCCAAAGGGGCCAGGACACACCAAAATGGTCCAGAGTGCCCATAGAGTCTACACCATGGACTCAGGTGTCTGGAGGGAGCACTGAGTCACTTACTCAAGGTCCACAGACAGCTGACCAGTCACAGGAACTCCCAGCATGCCTGCTTGTCACAATGAAGGACCCAGCCCCTGTCCAAGTCTGATGGTCATCAGGACCTTGCTTAAACTGAGGTCATCCACCATCTTTCTGTGTCTTCTCCAGAATCGTGGAAACCACCATTCACATACAAACCCTGATCGTGCTAATCACAAAACATTCTTATCTGTTCTTTAAGCCAGGTCTTCGAAGGCCCACAAGTTGGCTGCCATTTGGTTGGCCTCAGAACAGAGAGTATTAGCGTTTTAAGCATCCTAAAGATCATTGAGTCCAAATCCTCTCTGCCCCTAATTCTGTGGAAGAGGTCTCCCCTGAGGACTAGGGGGTAGAAGTGATTTATCCAAGGTCACACAGCAAGTTAGTGGCAAAATCAGGACTAGAATTCAGGGATCCTGATTTCCAAACCAGGGTACCACCCATCATCATAGTGAAAGCAACAGAACCAGGTTTATTGTCAAATACTGTAATTCACTAACTCCTTCCTTCTGACCTGGTCAATCCCACATGGTGAAGCTGTCAGACACACTTTACATCCTCAGAAGATGCCAAAACATACTTACTTCGCTATGCTCTGACAGCAGGCACTCCCCATTATCCCCCAGCTCCAGCTCAGCAACGGTAGGGTCCCTCCTATTCTTAGAGTACAGAATGCCTCCCCCACTCAGCCCCACTCAGCCCCACTCAGCCCCACTGACCTTTTCCTTGTTGAGGGCTTCCTGTGCCTCCAGTTTGTACACTAGGAAATCTGGAGAGGAGAGGGCCTTGGCATGCACCCCATCCCACTGCCAAGACAGTCTCTTCCCAACCTAGCCCACTCTTGAGTTTCCGGAATCACCCCGGACAGAGTTACCATAATCCCTCCCTACAGGGAGGTCTAGATTCACAGCTTCCAGCCTGGGAGTGGTCAGGAGCCCAGAAGACATCCATGGAGGACACAGACAACAGACCCATTCCATCCCAGCCCACTCAATGGTCGTATTGGTCAGGGACCCAAGGAGACTGGAGGCTTGGCTCCTCACAGAATGGAGGGCATCTCTCCCTGGTCTCTGGGGAGGGAACCCCAGTCTGGAGTCCCAGAGCACCTTACCTTCCTTGGTCTTCTTGTGTTCCCCTCGCTCCTTCTGCAGGGACCGCTCCAGGCGGGACCGATGTTCATATACCACTGTGGGGAAGAGGCCAGAAGGTTGGGGGCGGGAGGGATCTATTCCAACTTCCAGGGAAGCGTTAGGGTCGAGGGCCCAGGCGAAGAGGAGCAAATGAAAGAGAGAAATGCGTCCATCTTTCAGATGGATAAACTGAGGGCTTCCTCTGGCTTCCTGTTACCCATCAGATCCCACTGCTATACACTTTTTCCTAGCTCCCAATTTTCCGGGGGAGTTAGGGGTACGGAGGGGGTGTGGAGTGAGCTAAGTATTCTGAGGGAGGGAATACACACACATACCAGAGACTTACAGGCCTCTTCCTCCTCCTCCTGTTCACCCCTTCCCTCCCTTCCCACCCCCCCTTGGTTTCCCTCCCCATGCCAAGTCACAGGCCACAAACGCACTCTGAAAACAGACACTGCCAACTCCTGAAAAGCTTCTGTTCTTGCTTGGAAACCTCTGAATCTGGAAAATTACAGGCCCCCCCCACTAGGCCGGCACTGCCTCCTAGGCCCATTGGCCAGCTTCCCCCTCATCTCTCCAGACCCTGGCTCCCAGTGGAGACAGAACACAGCTTGTTTCTCCTCATGGCTGGCCCTCTACCTCCTCAGTCCCCAGCCAAGGGACTCCCTAGGGCCCTGAGAGGAGGCAGAAACAGAATACTCCCCAAATTCCCACTGAAAAAAACCCCGGCCCCCCCCCCCCCCCCCCGAGTAGGCCCCAGGCCAAAGTTTCCCGGCCTTCAGCTGAAGGAGAAAGGGACTTGGTGTAGGATAGCCACAGCCCTTGCCCTCTGCTCTGATGCTGCTGCCTGCCTTTCAAGGACGGAATCCAGTCCTGGACCCCAGGTGGGAAGACCTCAAGTCTTGACTTGGAGCTTTTGAGGGGCAGCACACAGGAGCAGACAATTCTGGCCACTGAGGCAGCCCTAGGGAACTGGAAGAAAGAGCTCTGTTTTTGGAAGCAGAGGACTCTGAGTTTCAGTCCCTTACTGCTTGGGTAGCCTTGGCCAAATCACTCAAGCCCTCTGGGCCTCAGTTTCCTCATTTGGAAAACAAGGGGCCTGGACTAGATGAACCTCAGAGATTCCTTCCAGCTCTCAGTTCTGGCCGGAACTCTGGCCATGGGCTCCCTCCCTTCTCAGTGGGCCCCATGAGTAAGGGATGAAGAGAGATCTCATCCCTAACCTGGGACAAAGGGAAGGTCAACAGAGAAGGCTTCCCAAGAGATAATTAAGCCCTCTTCTTCCAGGGAAGTCCCCACAGCTGGTGCTGGGGAAAAGTGGATACAGGGCTAGGGCCCTCCAGGAAGGACAGACAGGGCAGCTGGCCTCCCAAACAGCCCTCTTTTCAGAAGGAGGACACAGCGGCCGTCATGATTAAGTGGCCTCAAAGAATCTAGGACAAGAAGGAGGATGTGCCCCCTCACACAGCACTGTCTGTGGGAGCCCAGGCCTCTCCCCGCAAGGATCGTGGGTCCCAGCCAAGAACCCCAGATGGCTTCGTCAGCCTTCTCAGGTCAGTCTCAATCTTTATATCCAACAAAGGGCAGAAAGGGGCTAGTGGCAGTAGGAGGCCTAAGATGAGAGTGAGAGAGAGAGGAGAGAATGAGAAAAATAATAGAGAAAGCATGAGAAAGAATAAGATATAGAAGGGGGAGAGAAACAGAGAGAGAGAGACAGAGAGACAGAGAGAAAGAGAGAGAGAGAGAGATGTAGGGCTTGGGCTGATTTTAGAGATAGAGCAGAATTAGGAGTGAATGGGGCTTAGCTTCCCTATAAGGGACAACAGGACTGAGAAAATAACCTAGTCCAAATCCGTCATTTACAGCTGAAGAGCCTTTGGCTCAGAGGGTCCAGGTCAAAGGTTACCTAGCTACGGAAGAGGCACAGCCAGGGGTCCATCCAAACCAGATGCTCTGATTCCTAATCTCAGTCTCTTCATTTCGACAGGCTGTCTCCAACCTTTCTGAAAGGTAAGGAAACTGAGGCCCAGAGGAAGAGAAAGGACTTGCCCAAGGTCTTCATATCTCAGGTGACTATTGCAGTGACAGGTGCCTGTCGGGGCATTCAGGGCCCATCTGCAGGTCTAGCTTCTTCAGGGGTGGGGGTGGGATGACCTTACCTGCCTCCATTCATCCACCTCCAGACTACCAGGATGCTGATCATCTGCCCAATATCATTGCCATGTGACAGAGATCAATTGCTTACTAAATAAAGCACATTTCAGATGAGTACCGCCCTTCACAGTAGTCCCCAGGGCAGTGGTGCACTTATTCCAACAAGGTTGCTATGGCTGAAAACATTCCAGTTCACCTTGCTTTGAATTGTGCTCTATGCCAGCTGCTATTCCAAGGCTGGCTGTTCACAAAGGAAGCTCGAGCCAGGGCAGCCTGGTGGGAATAACAGCACAGATATCAGGGTACTATCTGAAGGACAGTTTTGACTGGTTTGTCACACAGCCAGCCTTGTGGCCCCTCTCTTCTCACTGCATGGGCGGCACTCTAGATAGGGAGACAAGAAGCCCCCACCAAGAGGAAGCTCTCTGAGGGCAGGGAATGTCTTTTCATTCAGTGCCTGGCACAGACCTGGGCACACTGCTGGAGGTCAGAGATCCCAGAGCATTCGCTCTCCAGAAAGAGCAGCAGGTTGAATGGATTCTGAAGTTGGGTGCCCTTGGGGATCTTCTCTATTCGGGGGTCTCCGTTTGGGGCCACAGGAGGTGGAGCCCTGACCAGGTAACCATGCTTTGGGGATAGGGCCAGTGGCAGGCTCTTTCAGATGAGCCTCTCTAGAACAAAGTTAATCACCTGGTCTGGGAAGAATTGGGGCAGGGTGGGCAGGAGGGCTGTGGGGCCTTCCCTGGGTCTCTAGGGCCTGGCTCACTTTGCAATCTCCTTCAAACAACTGGGCCACTTCCAGCCTCAGTTTCCCCACCTTTGAAGGATCCAGATCTTTTCTTGGGCAAATTCCTCATGGCTCCCCACCCAGAAGTCCTCTATGAGATGAGTCTTTCAAGGTGAAAGTGAGTGGGAGGATGTTTACAAATCCCAACAGGCCAAGGGCCGAGAGCAGCAACACTGGTGCAGTTGGCACGGAGCACCCTCACACGGCCTTTCTCCCTCCTCACCCCTTCCTGGTTCTCTCTGTCCCTAGGGATGACAGGATCTCCCTGGGCCCAAGCACAGAGACACCAATGGGCTTGGCAAGAATCCCAGATATTAGAGCCCTACCTCCCAATGGCCCTCTGGTCTAAACTCTCCCAAACAGGCTCTGTGTTTCTGCCTCTATAGAATCAGTCACACAACACAAGGGCCAAAGGAGGGAGGGGAGCAACAGGGATGCTAACAACCAGTGGCTCCTCCCTACATTCTCCTCCCGCCCACCCCCCCACCCCCACACTAACTCTTAGACAGGCCTGCCCAGGGCCCAAGAGGAGACAGGAAGAAGGGCCATGGCGGGTGGGGGTGGGGGGGGTTGGGAATGGGGTTGGCACAGCTGAGTCAGAGATTAGCAAATCCCTCCCCCAGCCCATTGAGCCAGGCAGGAAAAGTTCCTTGGGACAAGCATTCTGTTTTGTCCTTCCCCTCCAAATTCAGCCATGGGATCTGAGGCAAGACCTCTCTCTAGCTGCTTCCTGACAAAATGCTGAGGGTTCCAGATCCCACTCAGAAGACATAGCTGGCGCAGGGGACACTGCACGGCTGCTCCCCTCTGCATTCACCAAACAAACTCGTTCTTGGTCTCCCCCTCACACACAGCTGTAATCTCGAAGTCCCTGGGCCCCTATTGGTTCCCTATTTGTCCCCACTCATCTGCCTCCTTGCGCACCTGAGGCCCCAGCCTCCTGCCTGGTTTCCTGCAGCCCGAAGCCCCCTGGTGGCCTCCCTTTGCTCCGGTTCTTTAGCTGCTCTCAGCATCCCGGGGGCTTGAACTGTTTGTAGCCCCTTCCCCATAAGTCCCTTGTTTTCTCACTCTCCCTCCCAGTCTCCTAGCTGCTTCTGTCTGCAATCCCCAGGTCCCTGGACAGCCCAGATCTCCCTAGTAACCCTAATCCTAATTTCATCCCCCCAGTGCCCAGACCCCCTAGCAACCCTCTTCCCAGTCCCCAATATCCCCCAGCAGCTCTGGCTGCATCCCAGGCCCACCCCAGTGCCTCCCTAGGCTCCAAGAGACCCCAGCCTCCTCCCTGTCCTGCCCAGACCTCCATAGCAACCCTAATCCTATCCCTAATTCCATCTCCCCAGTCCCCAGCCCCCAGCCCCTTCCCACTTCCCAGGTACCCCTAGCCTCCTCCTAGTCCCTAGGTACCCCGGCAGTCTCCAGCCCCATCACAGTTTCCAGGTACCACTGCAGCCCCTAGCCCCCTCCCAGTTCCCGGGTACCCCCCTAGCCTCCTCTCAGTCCTTAGGTACCCCGGCAGCCCCCAGCCCCCTCCCAGTTCCCGGGTACCCCCCCTAGCCTCCTCCCAGTCCTTAGGTACCCCGGCAGCCCCCGGCCCCATCCCAGTTCCCCCCACCCCCGCCCCCAGCTCACCCTGCAGCTGCGCCGACAGTGCCTCCTGCTGGCCGCGGTAGGTGGCGGCCAGCGCCTGGGCGGCCCGCGCCTTCTGCTCCAGGTGGCCGTAGAGCAGCAGCCCGCCGAGCAGGCCGAGCGCCGCGGTCAGCAGGAAGCCCGTCTGCACCAGCCCCTTGCAGCGCCGCGAGCAGCCGCCCGAGCCCATGGCCCCCGGGCGCCCGCCCAGCCGGGCCGGCTCTCAGTGGCCCCTGCGCGACATGCCCGCGCTGCTCCGGCTCTGGCGGCCGCTCCGAGGGATGGGGAGCGCGCTGCCCCCGCTCCAGCCAAACTTTGGCCGCCGCCGCCGCTCCTCGCAGTCCCGGCCCGGCCTCGCCCCGCCGGACTCCGGGGTCCTGTCCCTCGGGGGTCCCGCCCCCCTAGGAAACTGACACGGTAGCGGACCAATGCACCGGGGACCGGCCCCGCCCTGGGCCGGGCGGGAGGGACCGACGGGGCGGAGTTAGCCGAGGGTCCTGGGAGGAGCCTGGGAGAGGCTGCGCCCCGAGGGGCCTGGCCAGGGGGTGGTGCCACGGCCCTCTCCCACCCCTCCTCACGGGCACCCTTGAGGCGGCACACTCGGGCGCCCACCTTCCACTCCTTGAGTGAATGTGTAGGGGGCGGGGCTGGGCGTCTTCTGAGGTCAGGCTCCGGGGTCAGCGGGCCCCCAGGTGTTCATCAAGCACCCTCTCCCGGGATCCCGGGGATTTCCGATGTGGGCACGCGAGTAGCTCTGCGGGCTCCCCGTCTGGCTATGCTGCTGTGCTCGCCCAGGGCCCCATCGAGATCGGCTGCCCCTGCATCTCCCGCGTCCTTAAACTCCAACAAGCAAGCCTACTGGTTCATGGCTTTCATTCCTGAAGGGGGAGGCAGGCCGGGGGTGGTTCTTTCCATTTGTCAGAAAACAAGAAACAGGCCCTAAGAGGACTATGGAAAGAGGCTTGGCTTGGGTCGGCCAGCGCCAGCGACCCTGGGGCAAGTCCCTTACACTCTGTGAGCCTGGGCTTCTTTCTTCACTGTAAAATGAGAGGGTTGCCCTGAGGATTTCTGGGTTCCTGTCCCGTTCTGTCTACGATCCTCTGAAAATGACTTACAATCACTGATTCTGGAACTGGAAGGGACCTGAAGGATCATGGCATGATGTCAAGGGATCATGAAAGATCATGATTAAGGGAGAAAAGGGGGAGTGATCTCAGAGTCCTGTCCGAGATGCTATCCTCTCATTCCCGGCCTTTCCTAATACCCCTGCCTTGTTAGGGCTCTCTGATGATGATGATGAAGAAGAAGAAAATAATCGCTAGCATTTATGTAACATTTTAAGGTTTATCTCATTTAATCCTCACAACAACCCTGGGAAGTAGATGCTTTTATAGCCATTTTACAGATGAGGAAACTGAGGTAGACAGAGGTGAAGGGACTTGCCCAGGATCACACAGCTACCAAGTGTCTAAGCTGGATTTGAACTCAGGTGTCTGCTTTATCTCCTCCCATATTGAGTTCCTTAGGCTCAGTGATTCCAAGCTGGAAGGGCCCTTGGACATCCCATCCCCTCATCTGCAGTTGTTCAGACTACCTTTAGATTTGATACATCAGAACTACATGCACACATATGTATCTTGTAGATACTGCTGATGGACTTTTGGCTTCTTCTTGAAACAAAAATCCCATTTTTGGTTGGTTTGTTTTCATACCGATATTTATCTGTCCAAATGTTGCCTCCTCCCCAAAGACAGGGGCTGTTTTCCATTTTGTCTCCCCAGTGCCTGGCCCGATGCCTTGACCACAGCTGTCTAACCACAGTTTAATGAATGCTTACTTAATTGCACAGAGGGGTCAAACTGAAGCCTAGCAAAGGAAAGGTGACCTCTCCAAGGTCAAACAAGCTGGTGGCCGAATCCAAGACTCCATCCAAACCGAAGTCTCTTCTTGCCTCTTCTTCATAGGACCTCAGACTTAGAAGAGGAAAGGACCTTTGAGGCTGTTCAGTCTAACCCTCTGTTTTTACATATGTGGAAAATGAGGCCCAAAGAGATTAAGGACTTGCCCAAGGTCACCCAGGTGGTCCCACAGGAGTAGAATTTGAACCCAGATCCTCTAAATCCAAATCCAGTGCTCTTTTCACTAAATCTCTAGCCAGTTCAAAGCTTCCCTCCCAGAAGGGAGCTGCCCTGGATTCAGATTCCCTTTCCCTCTCTGAATCCATTGTTAAATAAGCAGCTGGGGGTGGGGGGTGGGGGCAGACTCCGGCTTCCTTGGGTCAGAAAGGTCTCTGTCTCTCCATCCTTCCACTCCAGAAGGAAGGAAACTGCCCCCCCCCCATCTCTTTGGGGTCCTCAGAAGGGAGAGATCTTGTTTATCCTTTGCAGGGGTCAGCCAGATTATGAGTGATTCAGGTCTCTGATCAGTGGAAGACAGATGTGTCCACTCTGGAGAAAACTCAAAACTTAAGGCCAGTGTGATTTTGTCAAAGAGAAGGGAAGGGGAAGTAACAGTAACACCATCCCCCTGCAGCCGCTCCTGCAGCTGCTCTGACCGGTCAGACTCTCTGTGCGCCCCCCCCTCCCCCAGCCCTCACAGAGCTCTGCTCTAACTCTCAGAGCTGCAGTTGGTCTGTTTCCTTTTTCACCAGGCAAAGAGGACATCCGGTTCCCAGACCTGCTTCTGCCAACCCAGGAGCCCCAGGCCCTCCCACCTCCCCTCCCTTGTCTAGGCAGGAGGGAGGGTGGCCAGAGAGTGCCCATTCTAAGACTGCTTCTCTTCCCACTCCCCTGTACACCTTTAGCCCCAGGCCCTCTGCTCAGCAGTCTATTTCCAAGTGACGCCCCCCCCCACTTTCCCTGGTCTGGGAACAGCAGGGAGCAACTCTGTCTCTTCTGGGGTTTTCCTTCCTTGCCATGGATCAGTGCCAGGGACACAGCCTAGGAAGGATAAGGCAGCAGTGGCTGCAGGGGTGGAAAAGGCCCAGAGAACCTCTGTATTCCCAGACTTACGCTTGTTTCTCCCCCTCAGAAGCGCTCCCCCTCTGGGCCTCTAGGCTCTCAACTGGACTGGGAGCCAGGAATCCTAGCTCAGAACTGAACACAGCATGTGAACCCAGACAAGCTTCACCAGCGTGCATGAGTGAAGGACCTACTATGTGCTGCTGGCACCTCTGTATAACCACAAAGTAGGCATACACCCCACTAGAAGCTGCACTTTTCCAGGGCACTCTGCTGGACCCTTAGAGACAAACAAGTCACAGACATCAGGACTCCTGAGGTGTTTAAGCAGAACACTCTTCCAGAGAATGGAGTGGGAGTTCAGGCTTCAAACAGATCCTGCTCGAAATGACCAAGAGGGTCCCTCCCAGACATTCTACGACTTACACTCAACATTTATTAGGTGTCAAGCACTATTCTCTCCACTGGGGGAGCTAGTGTATCATACAGGCCAACAGCATTTATTAAGCACCTACTGTATGTAAGGCTCTGTGCTAGGTACCGGGGATATGAAGGAAAAAGCAACCTCAATTTTGGTAAGAGATCCAAAATGCATAAAAGGTTAAGGGTGTGTGCACATGTATATGATGATGGGGCGGTAGAAGAGAAAATACTAATAACTGGGGGGAAATCAGGAAAAGTTTCCTGTAGAAGGTGGCACATGAGCTGAGCTTTGAAGGAAGGATGCTGAAAGGCAGAGGAGAGGAAGGAAGGCCTTCTAGGAAGGAGGGAACAGCCTTGGAAAAAACAAGAAGGGGAGGGCCAGCTTTGGGGAACACCACATGGGCTAGGGCACATCACTGGGACAAAGAGTGCTGCCAAAGAAGTCTATAAAGACTATAAAGTACAGCCAGACTGAGGAGTTTGCATTTTAGCCCAGAGGCAATAGGGAGCCACAGCCACCTAAGGGTCCTAAAATTAAATGACCTGGCCCAAGATGTGCTTAAAGAAGCTCATTATGGTAGTAGCTGTGTCCAGGCTTGGGTAGAGGGAGAGGAAGGACTGACCCAGTTTAGACAATGCATATGGAAATTAAAATGAAATTAAACTCAACTAACTTTTATTAAATGAGTGTTACATGCTAAGCATTTAGGGTTACAAATACAAACAAGGAAAAAAGTTCCTGACCTCAAAAAGGACACAGATCATAAGATCAGAGTTAAAGAGCTGGAAGGACCTTTCAGATAAGGAAACTGAGGTCCAGATAAATTAACTGCCGAGAGTCACAGTCAATCAACAAGAATTTATTAAGCAGTAACTATATGCCAAGAAAAAGAAAACTAATCCCTGCCTTGGGGAGCTTCCATTCTAACCGGGGAGACAACATGGATGTAAATGGCCACATACAAGAGATAGATTCTCAAGTGGAAGAGAGCCTCAGGGGTAGGTGCTGGAGGGACCAGCAAAGTCCTGCAAAAGGTGTGGTTTGAGCTGAGCCTTCAAGGAAACCAGGAGACACAGATGAGAAGGGAGAGCATTCCAGACATTTAAGACAGCCAGTGCAAAGGCATGGAGATGATACAGGAACAGAAAGCAGGCCAGTGTGGGTGGACCAGAGAGGACAGTAATGTGTAGGTAGGAAAAGCAAGGAAGTGGCTTTCAGTATTTGAACCCAGGTCCTCTGACTCTAAATCTGGTGCTCTTTCCACTACAAGAAATTGAAATTCCTATAGGGTTCAAATGTCCCGAATAATTGGAGGTGGTAAGGGGATGGAGGAGAGAGAATAAGTCTGTCTGTGTGGATCTGGGTGTCATCTGCACCAAGAAGATAACCAAACCCATGAAGACCTTATGAGAAAGATCGTCAGGAGAGAGAGTGAGAATCCAGGACAGACAGCCCTTGCTGGGGTGGGGGTGCGGTTGGAAGGAGGAGGAAACCCACGCTTTGAGTGTGGGGGATGGATGATGATTCAGCCAAGGAGACTAAGGAGAGGTCAGCCAGTCAGGAGAAGAAGGAGACTAAAGGGTCACAAAAGCCGGAGGAGGAATGCAAATCACATTCCCAGGTTCCTGGGCCTGGAATACCTTGGATGCTCCGGACCCTCCCTCCTCCCCAGCCCCTGCAGTTTAGATCAGCCTGCTGCCTTCTCCTCTTATCCTCGTTCTATCTCCCGTCATTCTTCTCCGGAACCCAAATCCCCACCTTAAGCATCTTCTTTCACCTTTGGGCTCTTTTCCCAGCCCTCCTCTT